GGGGGGGGGCGGGCACGGTGAGATCTGAGGCACGACGCCTGAGCTCAGCTCCTCCTCTGGAAAGTGGACCAGGACACCGCCTTCTCCCAGGGTTGTTGAGGAATGAAAGTGGGACGACAGCTTTGAGAGCTGAGGCCGCTGGCGTTAGCGGGTGGGGGTGGCCCTGGGCGGCAGGCGGCCTCTCCTAGGAGCTGTTGGTCTTGGTTGCAGCACCATGGAGGTGCCGCGGGGCCCGAAGAAGCCTCTCTCACAGAGAAGAGCCCGGTCCTGGGACAGGTCGCAGAAGCCCAGGAAGGACCTGGAGTCCCGGGAAGGCCAGTACCTCTCCCTGCCCGCCACGCCCCCCAGACCAGCGCCTGCGGGGAGGGCCCACGATGGCAGCCGGCACCTCAGCGGCCCAGGGTCTCAGGAGGCTCTCAGCCTGGAGGCGGCCAGGGAGCTGCTGACCAGCGAGCAGAGGCCTCCGCGGGACAAGAAGGACAAGGCCCAGAGTCGCAGCCAGCAGGGGTTGCTGAAGACGGTGCTGAACTTCTTCCTGAGGACAAGCCCCGAGGAGGCCAAGGACAAGGCCGCCAGGAGGGCCAGGGCGAAGGAGGGCCTGCCCCCGCCCGCAGAAACCTCGGAGCCCAGGAAGAAAGCCCACGACAAGAAGGCCGGCCGCAAGAAGCATGGCCACAGGAAGCACGGGGACGGGGACGCCAGGGGGGCCCCAGGCCAGGAAGCCGGAGGCCGGGACACAGCTGCTGCCTGGCGCTCCCAGGAGGCCGACCCGGGCCCAGGACCCAGAGGTGAGCAGACCTGCTGTTTCTATGGTAACCCCATTGCCCACCCCAGGGCTAGGGTGCTCTAAGTGGCTCCTCCAACCTCTTAGCAGAGGGGACAGACGGAAGGTGGGACAGCTGCCAGGAACCCCAGCCCTGGGAGCTCCGTCAGACCCGCTCCACCGCCAACCAGCTGTGAGGTTGAGCCTTAATCTTTTCCATCGATAAAGTGGAGATGATGACAGTTGCTCTGTCATGGGGTGGCCGCGGCCCAGCGCTGGCCCGGGAAAGTGCTCCATAATGGTCGCTGTTCCTGTGAAGTGCTCTTGTTCGAGGAACATGGGCCAGGGAGGAAACGGGAGGCCGGGAGGGAGGCGAGGGTGGACGCCCGCCCTCCACACTAGTCCTCAGCTGAGCACTGGGGGGTGTCA